TCGGAAATAAATTTTTAAATGGTAAACAAATAATAAGACAAAAAGTTACATTGGAAATAAATTTTAGGGGTTGCGTTTTCCACCCCTTACAACCATGGGGTAAACCAAATAAATTTCTGGCTAAGTGTCTTTTTGGTAGTACAAAACGTCAGGTTAATTTCAATATTGTAACTTTTTTAGTGCTTGTGAAAAAAATTGTTATACAAATTTTGTGTACCCCCTTTAAGGGGTACACAAAATCCTTTAACAAGGGATGCTCCAATGAAATTTCTTTATGTGAAAGATCCTATCTTTTTTTCGATAAGGAATCACCTCCTTAAATGTTTTACACTTATTTAGTTACACCCTGTATATTTTCATTAACTGCTACCTTATTGAAACAAATGGTTTTGAAGTATCTTATAGATATTATATGGAGATATTACCTGTTAACCAATTTACATTTTTTTTTGTGGTTCATATTCAATCTTTTTTGTTTGTCATTTAGATTTTGTAACACAGTATCTGGGTACTTACTTAAATAAACTACTTCATCATAACTATTCAGGGGATTAACGCCAAAAAAGTTATAAATATACTCATCATATTGGTAATCCATGAACAGTATCACTGCTGATAATGAGAGACAAAAAATTCCTAAAAAAGTAAATCATCTGAATTTTCTTCAAAGATTGATTAAAACTTTGAATCTCACCCACTACAAAGGTACACCAATAGTGGAATCCAAACTTTGTAATGATAGTTCCATCCTCGAATGGTATGACAAGCGGGAAGGGATTACGAACTACTAAATAAATGAAATTCGCAAATAATTGAAGTGCCCCACACAATCCAAGAATGTAGGCGCCATAGTGGATAACTGAAAATTTACAGAAATTGAAAGTATTGCTGAAAAGTATGGACACAACATACTAAGTGTTGAAGTTGATCAAGAGAAAGATCAAACTTTTTGATCTTCCTCTTGAAGATGATCACTTGGTGATCGAAACACGTGTTGAGATATTAAAATAACGGTTTGGTGTTGGAAAAAAACTCTACTACTATAAGTAACAACACTCATATATTATAATGAAATAATCATCATATATTCACCTGATCTGAATAAAATATTTGCGAGCAACCAGCAAACAAAAGCAGCCCACATTAAGATATGGGTATACCATCCTGCAGTTCTATAAAATCTCCCAAATCTCTGTCCTTCGCCATCAATCACAAAATAATCTACTATCCAGAGAATTGGTAATGGTAAACCTCTATATTGAGCCGCTCTGAACTGCTGTTGCAAATGGCCAGCTGAAGAAGAAAATTATATGTTAGTTTTGACAGATTGAACATTATCACTCATACTCTAAAGCAAATGAACTTCAAACGTTCAAGCCAGTCTCGATATACCTACACAGTAGGTTTAATGGACTGACGCCTATCAGAAAACAACTATTCCCCTGGCTAATACCACGAAGGGCGTTGGATTATATCCGACAGGCGTCAGTGCAGGAATCTTCACAGAAAATGTCCTGCATATGCAATTGGCAATACAACTGAAAGAGTTGACCTTCAATTTTCGAACGGGCACACTTGCAGACCGGTTTCGGGCTCATTAGCCACTCGTCAGTGCAAGATATTAACCATCATCGACCTAAAGTCAATGATATTCCATAATTGTAAATCGGAATTCTTGAACGTTTGAAGTTAATTTGCTTTAGATTTGTTTACTGCCAGTCTTCAAACATAGCCTACTGACTAATAAGAAAATTATCACTAGTTTACCTAGACATATGAATCTATTCTGAATCTAGTCCCAAACAATTATTTACTTACTTACTTTTTACACAAATATCATACAAAGTTTGTTGTACAACTAATACTGAAATAGATAAATTTAATATTTCTATAAAAACACATTTTGACATCTCTTGTGAGTCATTTGAGTAACATAAGTCATGTGAGTAACATGAAAATAGTTAACCAACTATTTTCATGTTATCGGATTTGCTGTGAAGTGGCCGTGTCAGGTGACGCCTAATCATCTGGTTACCAACAGCTCACGAGTTTTATTTAAAGTTATCTTTAAAGTTCTTACTGGTGTTTAATGTCATGCATAATGAAGAAACGTAACTTGTCTAAATTTTCACTTCCCATAATACAACCATTACAAGGAAAAACATCGTCTTTTGTGAAGAATTCAAGACATTTTATCAAACTACTAGGGTCAATTGAAATCACACAGGAAGTTCAACTAATTAGTGGAAAGCCTTTACACCAACGTTCCGGTCGAAGAAGCACTCCAAATCATATAGAGAAAGATATCCGAAGACGGGAACCTAAAAGAACGAATCTACCTATAGAAGTAATTATGGAATTACTAGGATGCTGTGTAAGAAACTGTTATTTCCAACTGAAGGACGAATTCTTTACACAAGATGAGAGACTGCCAATGGGATAGCCACTGTCACCAGTCATAGCCAACATATATATGGAGTGGTTTGAAACTCTGACTCCCGGACAGGTCACTGTTTCGGAAGGTCTTCTGCTTCTTTGCTAGCAGAATCAAGAGCAAATATAACGAATATTAAGAAGCACGGAGGATGGAAGTCTGCAACAGGAGCTGAGGGTTATATCGATCAATCTATTTCTTATAAAAAGTCTATTGCTGAAAAAATAATTCCAACAGCTAGCTCCAGCGTTACAGCATCGTCCTCTTCACCTCAAGAATTAAATGTTTATGTCCATGAAATTGTCAACTCAGATAGTTCAAATAGATTACAAAGATCTTCAACATCGCAAGGTATTAATATCAGCAGTTGTTCTAATTGTACTTTTCATATTAATGTTCATTAATAATAATAATGTAATTAATGTACATATAATAGGTACATTCGTAACCTATATCTAATGTTCTATCTATATCTATTGTTCATAATAAAACTTCCTTGAATATTTATTTGTTTGAAGGTGATTGACAATGTTTCATGATGAATTTCACTAGTTTGGACTTCCACTTGTATGGACTACCCAAAATCCAAAAGAAGGACGTTCCGCTTAGACCGATCATCAGCTCCAGAGATTCAGCTACTCAAAACTTGTCTAGATTTTCACTTCCCTTAATACAACCATTACAAGGAAACACATCGTCTTTTGTGAAGGATTCAAGGCATTTTATCAAACTACTAGGGTCAATTGAAGTCACACAGGAATATCAACTAATTAGTGGAAAGCCTTTACACCAACGTTCCGGTCGAAGAAGCACTCCAAATCATACAGAGAAAGCTATCCGAAGACGGGAACCTGAAAGAAAGAACGAATCTACCTATAGAAGTAATTATAGAATTACTAGGATGCTGTGTAAGAAACTGTTATTTCCAACTGAAGGACGAATTCTTTACACAAGATGAGGAACTGACAATGGGATCGCCACTGTCACCATTGGGCCATTGAAGAAGCCCACAAGAAACCTCGAGTCTGGTTGAGATATGTAGACGACACCTTTATAATATGGAACCAAGGGAATACTGAACTAGACGCCTTCCTGAAACACATCAACAGCGTGAGATCATCCACCACTTTCACAATGGAGAAGGAAATCCACAACGAATTGCCATTCTTAGACGTTTTGGTGAAGAGGACCGACACTAAGTGGGAACCATCTGTATACCGAAAACCCACTCAATTATATATTAGACAATGGAAGTCCGAACTAGTGAAATTGAATATTTATGTTTTGTTTATTACTATTTGGTCGAAAAAAATCGTGTTAAATATATTTTTAAACACGCTACTTCGTAAACATCATCTTTTAATACTCTTGACAACTTTTTTGTACAACTTTCTTCAAAAGTGACATTTGTAATGGTTGTCAAGAGTATTAAAAGATGATGTTTAAAAAGAAGTGTGTTAAAAATATTTTGAACACTAGTGTTAAACGTGTTTATACCAATTGGGTTGACTCTGCATTTATATAATTTGAATAGGTATTTCAGAAAAAATGTTGATGATTGATAACAGAAGGATGCAACGTATTTATTAAAATAGTCAATGTTTTTTTCAACAATGCAAAAAGAACGACCTATTTTCGTTTTTCTGTTTGGAATTTAAACAATCAATGATTTATCCATTAATTTAATGTTTTCTATTAATGAATGGCACAGCTCTTCACGCCGGCAGGCTCCATATATTCCGAAAATAGTAGAAACTTTTATCATCAAATATTTTTCATCTCGCCTCATTTATAAACCTCTGGACTTGTTCAAACGTAAGAGTTTTTTATTTTTNTCAAAAACACTTTATTGTAAGATTTTCACTAACAATTTTACAAAAACGTAACACGTGTTGCGCCATGTTGCGCCATACAATGGCTTCTTCGGACGCCCGAGGAAGCCATTGGATGGCGAAACACGTGTTATGATTTTATAAAATCATTTAGTGAAAATCTCACAATAAAGTGTTTTTGAATACGTTTAAATTATAGGGACTTGGTAGTTTGAAAAAATAGTTGTCGAACTTTATGAAAGTAATATCAGACAATATTTAGCTCGTTTGAAAAAGGACAAAAATCTTTACTAAAAATTTTCAATATGACCTAACTTGACAAGAAGTATTTGAACCTCTGGCGTTGAATGCACCTATTGAAAACTTTTTTCTTTACATCAGTTCTGGTGTGGGGAAAGTGTTTTTAATAGAATCCGACCTAGTACACAAACTCATTTTGCTGAGATATAGTCAACTTTTAAAATCATGAATAAAATATGCTATATAACTAACCATATGGGCCGAACCCAAATCTTCCTTGATCCCAAGTCCATTCGAATCTTTCATTGTAATCAATAATCTCGTGTTGCAAATCGCCTTCTGGTTCTGTTTTGGCTTTTAGAGTGATGTTTACACTTCTCAGACCTATCTTCAAAGAAATTGAAGCATTGATTTCTTGTCCCGTTCCAGCTCTATACGGGGTTGTAGTTAATACATGTCCTACTTCCCAGTCTTGACCAAAATTGTTAACTAAAATCGATCGAATAGTTTATGTCAGCTGACATCAGTAATCTCGTATATGAAATATCCGAGTGTCCCAAAATAATTTTTACATTGTTTTTATATAAAAAATAATTAGTAATGATAAAAATATGAAGACATCGTATTGACTTCGATTTCAAGAGTTCCTAATTTCAAAACAGTGGATTAATGAAAAACTATGTAGTATTTCAACTCTAGGACACTCAATATTATTATTTCGATCAATTACTTACTTAAAAGAAAAGCTCCTATGAGTATATTCACAGAAATTCTGGTATAAAGAATTATATTCTGAAAAAACAATTTTCTTTAAATGTGTTGGCAAAATATAAAGTATTAATAAAGCAAATCAGTGAGCATCGCCACTTCTTACTTGAAATATAAAATGATTGGTCTTAATTGGATATATAAAACAATTGTGAGAAAATAAAAAAATAAATGTATTTTTATACATATCCACAAAGCGCAGGATGGGATCAAATTAATAGAAACGTGGTGTAAGGAACACTCACCGTCGATCAATCCCAAACAGACTGAGATGGTACTTTTCACCAGGAAAAGAAGTTTATCGGACTTAAAACCTCCCGAAATCTTCAAAAGTAAACTGAACTTTTCTGAAGAGGTGAAATACCTTGGTACTATCCCCGACAGGAAGCTAACATGGAACTCTCACCTACAGAGTAGAGCAAAAAAAGCATATGTGGCATATGAGCAATGTCGGAGGACAGTGGGACACGCATGGGGTCTTTCACTCCGTGTGGTCACATTGATCTACACTTCAATAATAAGACCCATGTTAACGTACGGAGCCATTGCATGGGGACCAAAAGTACTACAAGTAACTCCCATCCAAAAATTATATCAAATACAACGACTGGCTTGTTTAAACATCACAGGGGCCATGAGAACAACACCAACCGCGGCAATGGAATTAATTACGGGTCTGACCACTCTGGACCTGTACGTTAAGGAGGTTGCGTTAATGGCCATGTTACGATTGCGCACGGCTGGTGTAAACCTCGAAGTAAGAATGGGTCAATTAAGGCTGGGCCTATGGCGGGAAGCGCTTACTGCGCAACCTCTGCTGCAGACAACAAGCGATGCAACTGAACCCAGGTTTGTGTTTAATAAACCCTACAAAATACAAATTAAGCAGAACATAGAGTCAGATGATACAAATACAACACGGATTTAAATAGACGGCTCAAAAACCAAAGAAGGCTCAGGGTGTGGAGTGTACTCCAGATCACTAAGCCTAGGAATTAAGTGGAGAATGGGAAGAAATACCAGCGTGGTCCAAACAGAACTGGCTGGTATCTCAATCGCCACAAAAGAAATAACCAGGAAAGTAATTTCTGGCGAAAACATAACAATCTGCACTGACAGTAGTGAAGCCCTATTAGCCTTGAACAGACAACGTGTTACCTCAGGGCTAGTACTAGAGTGCCACCAAGATTTAGCCAAAGCCTCGGTAGATAATAACATTATCCTGAGGTGGGTTGAAGGGCACGATAGGAGTAGAGGTAATCGCATTGCCCACTCTGTAGCCACGGAAGCGGCTGGACTAAAAATTTTAGGACCCAGTGGCACCTACGGCCTGATGACTTCAACAATTGCAGAACTAGCCAAACGTCACACCCATGCTCAATCCCTAAAGAGATGGGATGAAATCAAAGGATGCAATCTTGCCAGGATCAACCTGGGCGACCCTGGGAAGCTAGCGCCGAAGAAAAATCTACGCTCAACAGTAGGATTTCTGACTGGCCACTGTCAACTAAGGAAACGCCTCCACAATATGGGGCTAGTATGGGGCTCTATGCAGGATGTGTAAACAGGAAGATGAAACTGTCAGGCATGTCCTATGCGAATGTCCGGAGTTATCGTCAATAAGATAGTGTGTCCACCTTCCTGGAAAGGACAGGATGGACGATGACCTAGGAGGACAACTCCTTGGGAGGATGTACAATGAGTCACATGTGGTGTAAGTGCTGTGGGCCTACATTCACCCTCCCTACTCTACAGATACAGAGATAAATATCCACAAAGCACGTGTTCTCTGATACATATCTATTTCATTCGATACAGTCACCGTATAGATATATCTCTCCTTATGAAGACGCCATCTATGGGATAGTCAGAGAACTCGATCCTTGAATATCAAAGATAAACGAGGTTCCCCAACGCGATTAGTTGCAAAGCCCAGCTTCGACATCGACCGCCAACGAAATTCGTCCTATATCTTCTACTACAATGCAACTAGTTGAAAATCAGAGCACAAACACAACGCATTCATGATTCAACATCAGATAGGGCTGTTTCGACCCGCCATAAGTCTCATCACCGGTGCTAGACTGAACCACAAATACTCTAATGGACTCAACTGTCCTTAAAGAACAAGCTTTACGAAGGCTCCCCTTACGAAGACGCCATCTATGGGATCTCGTCGGATTCGAGTTCGCTGTCGATCCCATAGATGTCGTCTTCGTACAGGGAGATGTCATCAATCTCACTTACATTCAATTCGTATACGAACTCATCAACACTCAGGTATACTGTAAATTGTTTTTTTGCATTTTCTACAAAACACTCAATTTATGACATGCTAGTGCACATTCATGTAACAATCAATATTTACGAGAATAGTTGTTTTTGGAAAAAATAATATTGAGCGATTTGCATCTGGGACAAAATATCTAGCTCAAAATATTTGTTAGCTTTACAGAGTAAACGTTTTATGATTTATTGTCAAAGACATATAAAGTCGAGTGAAAATTTTCAAAAAAACCAAGAAATATTTGGATCAATGAGTTAACTTAGAAAATATTCAATTGTCGAGAATATAAAAAACTGGAAAAAGCCGTAGAAAATCATTTCTTGAATCTGCAGGCACTGTTTTGGTATGACCTGCTATTTTCTAGTCTGTTCAATTCTGAGAATGTTAATTTTTTCTCTGTCACTAGTTTTTGAATAACTGACAAAGAACAGATTTGTCTCTTCCTATGACATGCAGTCATAATGTTTTGAATGAAATTAGTACATCGTTGTGTAATGTTATCCACAACGATGCTGATAACTTGTCTTATCTTGTCCTGAAACTTCGAAGTACACCATTGAGGATGATATTCTGCCATATGAGTGACATTTTATATCAAAACTCTGCCATATATCACATTTTGTAGCATACCTATGAATTATATCTGTTTCAATTTCACAGCTAATATTTGTTAGCCCGCGAATAGATCAAGCAATAATGTCGATAATTCTGTCAAATACAGATCCCGAGCTCGAGAGAAACAAACATACATACTTTGAAAAGTATGAAATGGTTCGCTTTACAGGTAAACACATTTTCCTAAATAAGCATATTCGTTACATGCAACTATTTAATAGTAAAGTAAGATTCAAAAACATAATATCATTTGCCACATTCTCGAGATATCCGAAGGTAATTCAATTGATGAGTTTTTGATAAAACTGAATTGACCACAGTTATAAAACACTATTAGTAAAACCGAAGTTAACCAAAACCTGGGTTAACGGAAACGATTCCATGAAAGATGTGCATACGAATAAATTAGCGAATGATGTGTCCTTGAGATGATTCAAGATGTACTGTCTGAATCTTCGAATTCAAAACGCCACGTTTCCGGAGATTTGGAAAACAGCACGAGTATGTCCTATTTTGAAGAAAGGGGATGCAACTGTTATAAAAAATTACAGGTCTACTTCTATATTAAGCAATTTCTCGAAACTTTTCGAAATAATTCTATACGGTTTTATCTATAACTCGATCAGAAATATAATATCGGACGATCAACATTGGTTCGTGGAACAAAAGTCATGTGTGACCAATCTTGCATGCCTTTCACAACATGTTTCAGATGCTTTAGACCAAAAGCAACAAGTTGACGTAGTTTATACGGACATGCAAAAGGTGTTTGACCAAATTGATTTTTACGTCCTCATTCAGCGACTATCATCGTTTGGCTTTTCTGGAAGTTTAATTGATCTTTTCACAAGCTATCTCTTTAACAGAAAGCAATACGTAGAACATGAAGGTTTTCAATCCTGTTTGTACACACCTAGCTCAGGGGTACCACAATTCAAGAATATTAATACGATTATAACACTGTTTAATGCCTATGTGAGGTCTAAACTAGAATACAGCGTGTTAATATGGTATCCAATTTGCAATTGCCACATACATCATAATGATGCTGTTCAAAAAAAAATTTAAAATACCTGTCTTTCAAGGTCACAGGAATATATCCTCAGAGGGGAACCGACTATCCTATCCTTCTGAATCAATTTAATGTAATATCTCTGAATACACGACGACTTTTTGTCACAATCTCCTTTCTTTTCAAACTGCTAAACAATAAGATCTCGTGTGCCCCTCTTTTACAAATGATCAACCCCACGCCTTAATTCCAGATACCAAACGACATTTTACTGTGATCTTGTCAAAACAAATAACAGTTTGAAAGCACTAGTGTCAATACTTTCTAACAAGTATAATTCAATATGTGATATGTGCGATATTAATCACAGTTCTCAAAGTTTTATTTTAAAATGTATTCTCACTAGAACCTTTTAACTGTGATCACTTTTTCTTTTCGCTTCTTGTGATATATTTGTATTTCTACTTATTTTTCTTTAAGTTGTAGCAATCTTTTTTTTTAACTAATTATACTGTTTTGCATATATTTTCATCAGCACCTTTGCACATTTCCTGTAATTGGGTGAATGCCTGTTGGAAACAAAGTGCTATCAATCAATCAATTATGCAATAATTTTCCAGCTAAAAAGTCTATTTTTCAAATTAGGATGGTTGAGAACAAATTTGTCTTGGGACAGAAGAACCACAAATCAAGCAGATATATTATCAAGTTCAGATATTTTCCAAAGAGAAATAGTATTTCAACACTAGATAGAACAAATAGCAAGTATTAAAATATTTGATTATTCATCAATTGAATATTTGAGCAAAAAAAAACGTGTACTTACCGTTTTCTTATTGGTAGTGAGGTAAGAAACAAAAAAAGAAAACGCTAAAATAACAGAAGCTGTTATGAGGCCCGCGTCCAGCACATCCACAGTAACAGGGGTTGCATTTGCTTCATACTGAGTAGGAAAACCCTCATCTCTAGCAAAGCCAAACCACATAGTTTTTCTTTTTACAACCTCTTTTCACCAAGACAACTGATACATTTTTATTTAGTTTCACACAGACACTGTACTCAAATAAATCCCAGCGGTATTAACCACTTCCTCCGCTCTTTCCTGTGATAAGATAATGAAGCACCAATTTACATGAAACAATTTTATTAAAAGTTATCAAGTTATTGTTTGAATCCCCTAACAAAATATTATAATAAAGAATGGAATGTAATCTTATCATAATTTTGGTAAATTGAGCTAGTTTTATTGCTTATAATTAGCTGTTTTGTATATCACAAGAGCAACAAATACTCAGAAATTGTATAACAAAAGTACTCAGTTCATTCGATAAAACCGTACAGATGTAAAACAAGTGGCAATTTCATAAAATAACAATTTTTCAAGGAAATAACAACAAAATACAAAAATATAACATGATACCTATCTAAAAACAAATATCATCAGGTAACAAGTACAAAAAAAAGAAATAACATTTCACACAAATATCTGTGTTAAAAATGGAATGTACAAAGTTGAAAGTATTTGTTGCATACAAATGAGTTCTTCAATAAATTATTTAAAATCTACCTTCCTAATTAATAAATATATAAACAGAATTATACCCATAGATAACATATTCAAATAAAGAATGGGACATCACATCCTAAGCGAATATCCGACTCCTAGATTACTAAATAGAAAATACTCCTCAGAAAAAAAGAATCAAGTCAGTCTCATAGCATAAAACCTTGGTAATGTATCAATCAGATCTTCTATCTTTAAAACTGCCGTTCATCATCATATTCAGTTGAAACAAAAACTAGAATGTAATGCACCCATCACTTACAGGCTAAAAACACCAAAATTTGTTCGAAAAAAGTTCTAAATAACAATCAACAACAAGGGAAATCCCTCGTTAGAGAATAAAAAAACAACAAATAGTAAACTAAATAATCCCAGCTGCTTCGAGGTTTTGTTTACGATGGTGGTACATGTGAACTCTTAAACAACTTTGGTTTCGCATAGTCTTGCCGCATATTTGACAGTCTAGATCAGTCGAGTTTGCTTCATGTTTGTCTCTAACATGAACTTTCAAATTGTATCGATTCACGAACTTTCTACAGCAATACGGACAGAAAAC